GGGGGGGGGGGGGGGAAGAAGCACTTGGGTCTTTGGACGTAATTCTCTGATGTAGTTCTCTACGATGTAGTTTTCGCCCTACACATATTCTAGTTTTCCGCACAGATTTCTCTGAAGCGCGCACCTTCCCCCCTCCCCCTTACGCGAACGCGTACTATGGTATAAGGAAACCCCAAGTGAATCCTTACGAGGGCCCTTGCGAAACTAAGCTAAGCTGCTTCTTTGTTTTATTTTCCATCTTGGGGTTTGGACGCATTCAGCAGTTTTCCTACTGTTCCTGTTACTTACTGTTTTTTTTCCTTTTGCTCATGTATTCCTTGACTATGTCCGACCTTGTCTACTAATTCATTCTGGAACGGCTTCTCACCACTCCTCCCATGTAAACATCTTCAGAGAAGGGGCAGACAGTCACTTTCATACAGTGAAACAATAGATAATTCTGTTATTTTGAGATGTTTTCACTGCTCCTACGGCTCCCGCTCCAAAGAAGATTATCAGGGACAAAACGAAACCTGTCGTTGTGAAGGTATTCCCGTGTTTTCCTTTTTTTCCTACAATATGGTTTTTGTGATCACGACGTTTTCTGCATGTACTGATTCTATTCCTCCTGAACCTCACTGGAAAGTGATTTGGCCCTTCTGTAGTTGAGGGGCCACGAAGCGAGATTAGCCGTTCAGGATTGTTTCGTTTGCGCTCTTCTAAGGCAGGGCCTAGGAAGAAGGGATCATTGTTTAAATGAGGAATATATCCCATTGGAATTTTCCAGTATAAACCAGTTCCACCAGATTAAAGTCAGTTTGCTCAAAATTATAATCAGTTTCATGTAAAGTGGAGGTGGTGTGGTGGCAAGTGGGACGCTTATCACGCTTATACGGAACCAGTAACTTACAGTCAGTTACAGTTCTCTCCCGAAAGATGAACACTGATTCGGACATGATCTGCCCCCGCTATTCATTGTATAGGCCACATCACATCCAATACGCTACTCTGATACTGAAGAGAAATAAGGGGCGTGTCAAATCACAAAATCGATTGAACCATGGTCAAGTTTTTATCCTCTTTCTCCCATGTAAAGCTAAATGACGTATTGCATGTATTTTATGTTTTGCCTCTTCAGAAAGAAAAAGACGTGCGATTTGCTCCAGATGTGCAACAGGCCGAAAAACCGTCCACTAGTCAGCAGAAAGCACCTTCTGCCAGTTCGTCAAAAGCAGAGCAGGAAGAGGTAAGGAGGCACCGCGAACGTCCAACCTTTCCATTGCTTTTTTGGGTCAAGTATTGCAAAGAGGGCGAAGCAACTTCGACAGCACATATGAATTTTTCATTGTATGGGCTTGCCACAGTTAACATATGGGGTAACTACACTATTCCAGGAAGACATTCTTCCAATCAAACCACTCAATGAAGAGGACGAGCTGTTACGACTCAAAATGCAGGTATGTCGTTTTAATTATAGAAAACGGACCTGCCTCGGTGGGTTCGTATAAAAATGGCTCATTCAGATTCTCATCTCTAATTTTTCTCAAGAACAACTCAATAGATACGAGATGTATAGAAGGTAAGGTCATAAACCTTTTTGCTTTGAACATCATTCTGGTTAAGGGTATTCCTTTCACTCCTGAACTTCGTCGAAAACTCCGTTTTCCTTCTGCTAACTCGTTTGGATGCCTTATCTCTGGCGAGATCTACTCTACGTCGTGGGCGACATTCATTTGCATCTTTAAAGCTGCCGCTTTTAGATCTTCTTTCCCGAAATCGACTATACGTCGGCTTATACATCAATTTACTGGCGCTAATGTTGGGCAGAACGTCGTCATTGCTGTTGCAGGACTTGCAAAGGTACTGTTATGTTTATAGTCGGCGCTGCCTGTTTCGGACCTTGGAATGGCTTTTCTGTGCATTTCGAAATGACAAATTTAGGATTGATTTTCATGTACTTTAAGGTTTTCGCTTGTGAACTGGTCGAGGAGGCGTTGGATATTCAAGCGAAGATGGGTGGGCCGGAAGAACCACTGAAACCAAACCATCTCCGTCTCGCCTATTATTCCCTCGAGCGTCAAGGGAAGATCTTTCCTCAGAATAGTCACCGGCGGAATCCTTTCATGTGATTGTTATTTACTTTTTGGAACACTGCCAATTTTCTATCAATTTTGAGTTCCTTTAGGATGACTTATTGTCTGGTTCGTTGCGAATACTGGGGCGTGCCAAGGGCGGGGGCGGGTTTGGCGCGGCGCCAGCTCACTTTCCACCAAGTGTTGTGCTAACATGCTTCAGCAACTGACTTCACAGGAAACGAGCTGACGCTGCGCCATACCCAACCTCCCCCCCCCCCTCCTGACACAACCCTGCATTCACAACGAACAAACCATATGAGAATTCAGGGCTTTCACTCTGAAGAGGGGTTACCTCCACTTATTGCCCAGTCATCTGTCTTTTTTTGTTTGTTGAACTTACTTAGATAGAGGTATCGTTGGCTCCCTTCAATTTTGAATTACTCTAGCCTGTATTCTTTCATTGTACATATAATCACGCACTTAATAAATTTTGAATTAAGCTGACTTTCTTTCTTATCAAGGCGTTATTGGCGCTATAGTATGTCTTTATCTCCTCTCTCTTTTATGGTTTCTTATATTTGTTGTAATTGAAATGAGCGCAGGAGTAGTATAGGTCCGTTACCTGTTAAAAATTTTGTAGTTACATGTGGCATAACACGTTAATGACGTCACATGAGAGAAACTCTATGCTGTAGTCGTAAATGACGTGTTAAGATGTCATCAGAGTGTCATCTGACGTCACCAACTGGTTCTATTTCTCTTAACAAGTAGCACCAACGCCTGGAAATTGAGTTTTTGTTTATTATAGATGAATGGAACGCCGTACACTGGCGTACCGACTATACCACCTCCTCAATTCAGTACGTTTGCCACCACAATTGATCCTCCTCGACCCTTGCCAGACTTCGTATCAAAGGCTCCATTACATCCTACGACAACAGCGGCTCAACAAGTACGTTTGAATAGAGCGGCTCTTCTTTTGACCGCCTCGCGCTCAACCAACCCATAGGATTCCTTACTTCCAAAGCAGTCCAGTACGCAATAGCAAAATGTGTCCCACGTTCTGCATTGGATTACCTGGGCAAGAAAAGAATCCAATGGACTGGTTGAGCGCGGAGTGTTTTCGAGTTTTTTTTTCGTATACTATACCATCGGTTTTGTTTTCAGCAGGTGTATTCACCAACAGCAGCTCCGTACCCTGCCGTACAGGCTCATCTGGATTCGCCTGCTCCTTCGCCAAACCCTGAAGGCAATAAGCCTAGCACAGTTCAAGAGTCATTTGCGATTACACCAAATGTTACGAATGAGACAAAGGTAGGTTTAATTTTTGAAAATGTGCTTCATTTTTACGTTATTCAGCAGCGTCGCTATGGTTT